AAAGTATATAGTACAGTAATACGTATTATTTACTTTATTCCTAAAAGTGAGGGGCATTTCTATAACCTCAAAGAGAATCTTTTCCAAACTAAGAACTTTCTCTTTAATTTTGCTTCTCAAATATTCTGGTTAAAAAAAAATTTTTAAGTACTTAATAAGATCCAGACCATACTTAGAGTGTGATGGGCCATGGCAAATTAGAGTGTGATCAATGGTCAAGGGCAGCCTTAAAAGGAAAAGAACTTACAAAGGTGCACAGAGCAACTGGAGGGGAGAACCAGCCCTCTTACAAGGCAGAGGCTCCCACACATACTGACAGCTGCCAGACTGTCCTTACCTCTTCCTGAAGCAGTGGGCTCTCCACCCTCAAACTGCAAATCCCAGGGTCACTGTCCCAATTTGTCAGGTCATCAAACATTTCTATGAACTATAAGCTTTTAAGGAATAGAAGCACAGAATTTCTACCAAATAATACCCATTTTGTTAAAATTATTTCAGGATAGCCTAGCTGGCATGGCTCAGCGGTTGAGCATCAACCTATGAACCAAGAGGTCACAGTTCAATTCCTGGTTGGGCCACATGACGGGGTTGCAGGCTTGATCCCCAGTGGGGGGCATGCAGGAGGCAGCCAATCGTTGACTCTCTCTCATCATTTGTTTCTATATCTTTCACCCTTTCCCTTCCTCTGAAATCAATAAAAATAAAAAAAAAAACTACCTTCATATGTTCAGACATGTGTTTATCATATTTTTCTTGATTTTTGAAACCACGATCACAGGTATCACAAAAATAGTGGAAAACTGGTTCTTTTCTTTTCTGCAAACGAAAATGAAGAGGCATTAGGCTTTAGATGAAAAATCTTTCATCGGTAATAAAAACAGAACTATCCTTCTAGTAATACATACTTTGATTTTTCACATAATCTTTATACATGGAAGAGACTCCTGAATATATTACTAATAAAGGGATAATGCTGTTTCTTTTCTTTTAAGCAAAGGTATTAGGACAAGTCAGGCACAACAAAAAATTTAAATCTGAGTAGAGCTAATATAAACAGTGAATAGCCTTAGCTGGTTTGGCTCAGTGGATAGAGCGTCGGCCTGTGGATAGAAGGGTCCCAGGTTTGATTCTGGTCAAGGGCACATGCCTGGGTTGTGGGCTCGATCCCCAGTAGGGGGCATGCAGAAGGCAGCCAATCAATGATTCTCGCTCATCATTGATGTTTCTATCTCTCTCTCCCTCTCTCTTCCTCTCTGAAATCAGTAAGAAAAAGTGAATAGCTTACAAAGTGGTAACCTAATTAAGACTTAATAGAGCATATATCAAGATGATCTAGAAATAAGTATTTAGTGTAAAAAAAACAGCATTTCATCTTTTAGAAAAAAAAAATCATATATGTTTAAAACTACAGTAGGGGAAAAAAGAATTATTTAGGTAAAGATTAGTTATTTTTATACCAATTTTTCTATTTTATGCTTAAATGTAAAACAAAAAATTACAATGAAACTCTATAGGGAATATTTCATGTTGAGATGTTAATAAGTATAGTATAGTTTTTCACAATATTTTGTTAATATTAGCTACATATTTTCATGCCAAAATAAAGAATCTTATTCAACTAATAACATTATTTATATACTTTAGAAGTTGAAAGGCCAGATTGTAAACATCAGAATAAAGCAAGCCCATTTTAAAACTTGGTTTCTGAACATAACCAAGAGTTGTTCCTCCTTAAAAAACATTCAAAAGATTTTTAATTCCATCACCCCTACGAATCTTCTAGTAATATTCATATATAATTTATATATGTTTTACTTCATTGAGGTTTAATAACATTTACATTTATCTATAATCCTAATTCTCAATAATACTCCTGACACTATAATAAAATGAATTCAATGTTTCCTTTATCTATAATTTTTTCATTTATTTCTCAAAAAGATTTCACTTGAAATTTTTACTTAAGCTAAGATCCTTAAAGATCTTATTATAGCAAAGCTCCACTGTGTCAATAATGGGTGCAAAACACTAAGAGAGTTATGACAGAAGCACAGATATGGAAGAATAACATAGGGACCAAAGTGTTACATTCAAGAACATTTTAAAAAATACCTTTTTTTTATGTTTTCTACTGGGAGGGAAGTTGAAGTCAGTAAACTCTGCATCATATTGTTGTGGAAAATAAGAATGTTTAACTGAAAAACAAAAAGAGATCCATAAATGTTTGCAATGAAACAATTATTTAAAATTGTATTTGCTGTAGCATGTCACAAATACTTGAGTTAAAAAGTGGTAAACTGCACCTTCTAAGAATAGTAGTTTGAACAAATTATCAAAGATTAAGACTAGTCTATCAAATAAACATTTTTCCAATTAATACATGGTGGCAAGATTAAGTGTCCATAAATGCTTTAGGCATCTAAGCAATGGGCAAGCTAATCTGATAAAATTCAGATTATTTCAAACATTATGTGCAATAATGTAGCTATTTCAAACATTAGAAATGTAAACAGTAAAAACCCTTTTACAGCTCTTTCAACATCAATTTTACACCAGAAAACAACCTCGTGAAATACTTTTTCTCCTAAATTCTTTTCCTTCCCTATTGCCATGACTCAACTCTGAAGCCCTGATCTTTCACCCAGACTACTGTAACAGCCTCCCAAACTGTTTGCCAGTTTCTTCGAACAGACCCTGCACATTGACACCACAAAAAATAATCCCCCAATCATCACAACTCTACTCAAAATCTGCACATGGCTTCCTAGAGGCCTTCATGAGATCCTGGCATATTTTCTCACTCTTTCCCCATTCCTCCCACATACCCTGCCTCAGTCACACTAGAACACTGTAATCTTCAGAATTCTCTTTGTACTGACACCTCTTTGCCTCTGCCTTAAAAGTATCTCTTCCTAAACATCTCCCAAGACAATTCTTCCAAAAGCTGTTCCCAAAGCCTCAACACTCAGAAATCACCTTTTATATGCCCCCATCACCAGTCACACCGTATTGTGATTTACATTTATGAACCATCTCACCTGACTTAGGACTGCCTTAGGCACATTGATATTCCTAGCATTTGGCACAGAATAAACACTGATTTAGATTCAGTGTAATGTAAAAGGAAGTGTATGCAGAGTTGGAGAACAGTGAACAATATCATGTCTTTAAATATGATCTGTATGCTGATGACACCTAAACTTACAACTCCAGCCACAAATCTCCCCTGAAAGTACTAAATAGCTAACAGCCTATTCAACATCTCTACTTGACACACATATTTCTAACTCACTCCTGGTCTGCTCTCCAAATCTGCTCTATCCACATCCTCTCTAGTTGCTTGGCAAAAAAACTATTAAGTTATTCGTATCTCTTTACCTACAGCAAATGGTTTTGGTCCTACTCTACCTTCAAAATATATCTAGAATCACCTCCTGAGCCCCACCCTAAGCCCCACCCTGATCCAAGTCCCCAATATCTCTCACCTGGAAAACTGCAATAACTTCCTAACTGGCCTCCCTTTCATTCGATTCCTATTGGTAGTCACATTAATCCTTTAAAAATATAGATCAGCCGAAACCGGTTTGGCTCAGTGGATAGAGCCTTGGCCTGCGGACTGAAGGGTCCCGGGTTCGATTCCGGTCAAGGGCATGTGCCTGGGTTGTGGGCACATCCCCAGTAGGAGATGTGCAGGAGGCAGGTGATCGATGTTTCTCTCTCATCAATGTTTCTAACTCTCTATCTCTCTCCCTTCCTCTCTGTAAAAAATCAATAAAATATATTTTTTTAAAAATATATATATCAAATCATGTCACTCCTTTGCACTATCCATATCACAACAGTAAAAATCCAAGTCCCATCAACTACAAAGCCCTCACAGGTCTGTCCTATCCCGCAATTTTCTACAGGCTCATTCCTCTTTAGACACACGGATCTGTACAGCTCCTGCCTCGAGGCCTTTGCAGTTGTTCGTCCCACCTGTATCCCTATTCCCCCAGAAGTACCCCCGGGTCTGATCCTTCGCCTCCTTGACGTCTTTTCACAAATGTCACCTTCCTTAGGACTGACATTTAAAACTGCACTACCTATCCGTCTTTTCTTTATCTCCCTCCGTAGCACTCACTGCCTTCAAACACAACTTCATTTTGTCTGTTTTCCTACACCAGATGTTTCCTACCACATTCCCAGTTCCCGATACATAGTTGGAACTCCATAACCAACCGCTCAATTGAATGAAAACATTCCTGTCGGACCAATTGTGAGACATGCGTGATCAGACTCCCACGAGTGCAGCGCAAAATCAGAAGGGGCGGGGAAGGCAGAAAAAGTGAAGAGGGAAGAAGGGGAGAAGGAGGGGAAAGGCAGGGGGTGGCACGGGGGGAGCAGCAGCCTACCCGGGGTGTGGTGGGACGTCTGATGCGGAGGGAAACTGCTAGGAGGCGGTCTCCAGTGCCAAGATGTCGAAGCCTGGAAATTCCAGGAAGGCTGGCCGCTGATCTGAGGCTGAGCATCAAGGCGGACTGGGTGTCGAAGAGGTCTGGGTCCCGGGAAGAACCCGGGGGCGTCGAAGCGCGGGAGGGCGCCCCCGGTGTCCGTGGGGGGGCTGCGTATCCCGAGCCAGGCTCCCGACCCCGCGGCGGGAGGCGGCGACGACGGCGGCGGCGGCGGCGGCAACATGGCCCAGAGCATCCACTTGTGCTGCAGCGGGACCGGGTCGCTCAGAGGCCCCCAACGTGGGGATCCGCTCCGGGGCCGAAAACCACCCGCGGGAGTCACGAACCCGCTAGCCGGCTCAGCCATGCCACCTTCAGTCTGGGAGCCCAGCGTGCGAATTG